GACGCGCCCTCCCCACTCCAGGCGGCTCCTGCAGGAATGGTACTTTGCTGACATATTTTGGAAAAGATGTCATTTAAAAATTTGCTTTTGCTTGGGGAGTTGGGGTTTTCGGGTTTAAGGGGACGAGAAGAGGTTACCAACGAGCCGCCTGCACCTTGTAAATCGGGGGAGAAAGTCTAAATACCAAACGCTTGAAGGTTTCGAGTTTGTTTCAGAGTTCGAGTCCCTTCTCTGCCAGTACCTCACTGTGTGACCTTGAGCGAATCACCAGCGCTCTCGAGGCTCAGCTTCCTCACCTCAAATGAGAAGGTTGGCGGGTGACCCCTGAGGTTCTCTTAACTTCAAACATCTTTCAGGGGTTGTCAGCACATTTCACCAGTAGCTCCCTCCCCTCTCATTTCTAACATCACCAATCAGCCGCCTCCCCTTTGAAATGTCACCCTTCTCCAATATATACTCTTTCTGTTTCTGTCACCACCCTTTTCCCCAACAATCTGCCCCCGCTACTGAGCTTGGAGGGGGCAACACTTGCCATATCCCCTCAACTCTCGGTTTGATAGGGGTGATATTTTCTTCCATGTCTGCCCCCACTAAAATTCAAGGGGTAGCAGGGCCATTCGGGTGGGCTGTATAAATGAGGACCCCCTTTCCCAAAGGAGAGGTCGCCATCGTGCCAACCTCACCCCCCATCCACACACACACACCTGCATTCATGGACATAAAACCAACCCAAGTGACGCCAAAGCCCCTTTCATCTCCGGATCTCCCAGAGCCAGGCAGAGCTCTAATTACCCCAGCAGCCCCCCCCCCCCCCCCCCGCTCTGCCGGTTCCCCCGCTGTCATTAGGCCAGTTTTACCAGCGGGGGCCACAACCTTCCCACGGCTCCTGGGGTGGGGCCCTGTCTCCACAGTCTGCATTTGTGGAGGGGTGTGTGTGTATGCTAGGGGGAGCCGCTTTGTTCATGTCATCGCTCAGTTTGTACTGAGCGAAATCACTTGCTGGGGTGGGGTTCTATTGCCCAGCGAACCAGGCTGCCCTCAATCATCTTGGTCTCCTCTGCCTGCATCCTCAGCTCTGTTGGAGCCACTTCTCTTACAAGGGGTATTGAGGTTCACAATTCATGAGGAAGAGGAGGGTCCCTCTCTCGGGGCCCCTGAGGCCATGGGGATGAGGACAGCTTGGATGGCACCCGTGGGGTGCAGAGCGGATGGCAGTGATAAGGGGCTGTGCAGTAGGTGACAGGAGCCTGCAGTGTGCATGCAGTGGCAGCTGCAGCGTGCAGAGTCAGCACACAGTGATTGAACCTGTAGGTTCAGTCTGGGCTCACAGTGGACACGCAACAGCTGCAGTGTGAGGCCAGAGGCTGCAGCGTGCAGAGTCAGCATGCACTGGGATTGCAATGTGCAGTGCGAGGTGCACTGAGGGTGGCTGGCTGCCAGTCCAGTCGCTGCCACCTCGGTGATCAGGTTTGGCTGAAACCCTGGGGAATAAGGCTGCAATGAGCAGCACTCAGGATGTGTGCTCCACCCTGTATGGAAATCATCCCTTAGGACTGGGCTGCCTGGGGATTGGGAGCAAATCCCAGCCCATGAGACACACTGGTATTCTGCAGTGAGCTTGGCAGAACCACGGGGAGATGGAGAGTCCCCGGGAATAATCTGGATTAGGGCTGGGTTGATGGGGTGCAAAGGGAAAGATGAAAGTGCAATGGTTTGGTTTCCCCTCCATCTTGATTTTTTTCCCCACAAAGTGCCTACAGATACAGGGTGGGGGAGACTCTTTGAAATCCTACAGCCATGAAATAGAAAGTGAAGGGCCTCCTGATTAACCTTTTTTTTTTTCCTATTTCAAGGCAGAGTGGAGCACCTTGAACTCAAAGACAAGAGCTCCTCCTTTCCATCTTCTTACCTCTCTTTCTCTCTCTCTCCTTGGTTCTTAACATGGGCTGGTGATAGACCTAGACAAGGGCAGAGTAAAGCGCAACCAGCTGGGAAGCAGACATCTTTGCTAGGTGCCAAGATCCGGCCCAGGCCTGGCCTTACAGCCCCTGCCCCTGTGTTGTGCCACCTTTCTTCCCACCTCACTCACCCTATACACCCGCATTTCTTGAGGCTTTCAGCTCTTCTTGGATTCCATTCATCCCCAGCTCCCACTCCTCCTGACTATGAAACCCTCTCCTGGGCTGTGTTGGCATTATCCCCTCCCATCCCTCTCTTCTGCTTCATAGCAGGCCTGTGGAAAGAGAGGGAGGGTGGGTCACAAGTGAGGATGGATAGGAACCCTCCAAAGGGAGGGTTGTCTAGCAGCCCCCTCCCTCTTAGATTTTGGTTGCCAAGGAGGCAGCAGGAACAGCCTGTTCTCTGGGCTCCCATTAGAGCAACCGTGCCCAGCCCCCTCCCTCCTTCTTTCTCGCCTTCCTTCCCTCCTTCTTTTTCTCCCAGACTGTTGCTAGGAAGCACCCCAAGATTTCTCGAGGGTCCCACCCCTAGAGACCAGGGGCTCCAGCTATCTTTCTGAATAGCTTTTCCTAAAAGCCTAGCAGCCATGATTCCACACAGCATCCTCTACTCCTGCTCAAAAGTTCCCATACCCCAAGCAGTTTGGGGGGTGGCAGATCTTTTGCTAGCTTGCCTTGAAACCAGCTCTGTGGTCTCAGCCTTGGCAATTCTTCTCTCTCATCTTATATCAACCTCTTAGGCTCTGGGTGATGTCAACAAGTGATGAGGTGTCCAGTGGCTCTGGGAACACAGCCCCACTCATTGGGGTGAACTGGAAAGACAGCAGAAGAAACTGAAGCACCACCAGCTAAGAGAACCTAAACCTGTTGTCTCTTCCCCTTAGAGATGTCCCAGTCAATAAAAGATAGTGAAAATGGAGGAGAGAAAAGCCATGGTGTGGGGGGAGTTGACCGTGGAAATGAACAAGCAGTTACTCTCAAAAGAGTAAAGCAGCCACTTAATTCCCTCTTAATCAATCTCTTTTGTCTCATCGTATAACTGGTTATGGGTCACAAAAAGCTAGGGAAGACCTGGCTGAGCCTTGCTTTTGGTAGCTGAAGTAAGAAGTGGAAGAAGAAGCTGACACCTTCCCCAGGCTGTCTTTCAGGATTTCTCTTACCTTTAGTCATTCATTTGACACATATTTTTTTGGGCATTTAATGTGTCAGGGATTGACCTAAACTTTCCCAGCTTCTGGTTTCACTTTCCCTTGGAGCCCCCTCATTGCTGCCTTTGCCAGCAAGAGAGAGGAGCTGAGAGTCAGGCTCCTTTACCAGCCTAGCTTGGGGTTGACATCCTGCCTCCCTCCCATGGGAGCTGAAGGGGTGTATGGGAGGATCTGGTGTTGAGGCAGAGTATATGTGAGGTAGAGTAGCACTCAGAGCCTGGTGCAAGGAAAATGGCACGCAGACCGCCTTTCCCTGATACCATCCAGGCCTCAGGATCACAGTACCACTATTCCTTTTGGTGCTGGGGGTACAGAGAAGGAAGGTATCCTCCAGGGTGTCAGAAAGGAAACTATTCCAAATATTCGTTCAAATTCTGCCTTTCACTCACTGCATGGCCAGTTTCTTTCTGGACCTCTTGTAAGGGTAATGGGAAGACAGGGACTGGGAGCAGTCGGGGGATAAAGGGGCTGTCCCTGAGGTGGGGCCACCTTGTAGGCTTCTTTTCCATCATCTTCTCCCTCACATAGATAGAAAGCAGGGATTTTGATTTTGGGACTGGTGGGGGGCAAGGAACCAGTTTGGAGCCAGCTGTGCACAAGTATATGGGATAGATTATTTCCCTATGTACTTACTAACGGTTAACTCCCTACAGTAGAGGGACCCGGGCAGGCTTCCAAAGAAAGAGCTCTCAGTTAGGGCAGGGGAATGACTCAGTTTCCCTGTGGGAAATCTTCTGTGTCTTGTATGTGTGCCAAGTATTTCAGTCTTTCTGGACTTTTGCATCTGGACTCTTACCACTTTTCCTTATGCCCCTTTCTAGCCTAGATAAGAAGTGTCCCCTTCCTTTTTGGTACTAAAAACCCAGTTCCTCACAGCCTCTTCACCCACCCCAAGGACCCATTCTAGTCTAGCTTTTTTTCAGTCACTGCTCCAGATTTTGCTATGTCACTGCCCGGCTGGCTTCTGCCTGTTTCTCTTTTATGGGCAGACCCCTTCCCCAGTCAGTTCAGCCAATGGGATGAAAAGATGGGAAAGCAGACATAGGATTCAGCCCCATATCTGTGTTGAATCGGAAGAAATGGGCAGCAAAAGCAAATGGAGTAAGTAGTTGGGATTTTTAAGAGGGGCTGTAGGGAGCCTTTCCTTGTACACCTTAAGGGAATGTCAGCATCTCTTCTCTCACTCTCTGGAAGATTATCAAGGAATCTAGTCCTTGTGGTAGGCAAGTCAGGGAGCTCAAGAGAGTCCCTAGGAAAACATTGGGGAGGTGGTATACGGAAAGACTGTGATCTTTACAGATTGGAGAACCAAGAGGGAAAAATAGAGAAATTAAAAATGGCTCTTGCCCAGACTACCAAAACCCACTGCCATGGAGTCAATTCCAACTCACAGTGACTCTATAGAACAGACTAGAACTGCCCCATAGGGTTTCCAAGGCTGTAAATTTTTGTGGAAGCAGACTGCCACATCTTTCCCTCCAGAGCAGTGCTTTTGGTTAACAGTCAAGCATTGAACCACTGTGCCACCAGGGCTCCTTTGCTCAGAGCTAAGCCATTCCTTATACATAGGAGTGCACTCCTTGGGAATATTCTTCCAAGCCTATAGAAAAGGTTGCTGGTGAGAGATGGGGGGACACGGAAGACAGAAGTCTTGACTACATAAGCCACCTCCTTATTACCATAAACTGGGTAGGAGGCACCCCCCTAGAAGTCTGCTAGGGTTTCTGCCAGAAAGGGATGGTTTGAGCTCAGGTTATCACTATCTTCAGGGCCCAAATATTCACCTCTCCCATGTAGACCCAATACCCACTTACTCAGTCAGGAGCACTCACAAAGTTGACAGCTTCTCTTCAAGAGAGCCACTTTGGGCCATGAGGAATGGGAAGGAGGAATGGAAGGTCCAGGAACAGCTCAAAGTGGGGATCCCTAGGCTGCTGTAACAGGAAAGGAATGAGAGGAGGGGTGCAGGCAAAGGTAGAAGGAGAGGCCTGGAAGGAAAATGGAGGCCAGACACATGAGAGACTGAAGAGAAACAGGAGTTGTGCTGGCCTCCAGTGTAGTGTGTGTGGCTGAAGGGAGTCTGGAGGTTAAATGTGAAGGGTCTGGGTTCTCCCTCCTTCCTACTTGGGAAGTTTGGCTACACATATTGGACGGCTATTTTGTATAAACGTTATTCCCCGCTGGTGTCACTTAGGCAGGCACAGAGGGAGCAGATTGGAGGCAGATGTGGATGGGTGTACAGGGAAGGAGAAAGACCATGGTGCACTCTCTGAGGAAACAGGAGTCTTTGCACTCCTTTTTAGACTATGCTACAGATACCCAGAATCCTGTACTCTCTGCTCAAATAGCCACACACTTACTTCCAGGGCCTGAATGGGCTCCTTCCCCAGATTCATTCTCCTGAGGACTGCTTTTGCCACTCAAAGTGTGGCCAAAGGACAGTTATTGGGGAGTATGGACGGATCTTCGACATGCTGGCTCCTCAGGGTCTGAGATAGGAGAGGGGGAGCACTGGCTCAGGGCCTCCATGCCTATTTGTTTACCCTCTTTCTCTCTCTTTCAAAAATTGTGATTTGGGTGAAAGTTTGCAGAGCAAATTCATTTTCCACTCAACAGTTCATACATGTTTTGTTTCACGACATCGATTGAAATCCCAATAATATAATAGTTCTCTTCCCGCTTTCCATGCTTATTCTTGTTCCTGCTTGTAAATGTTAGGGACAGACCTGTCTATGGGGTAGGGCAGAGATGAGGACTGTTTACAAGGAGGCTCAGACATTGGGGTCAGAAGCGGGTAGGGGGTAGCGTTTGCTTTTGGGCTTCTCGCTGGGGGATGGGGTGGGGGCTGGGAAAGAATGACTAAAGCCGGAAGGCCTGATGTACTCATGGCTCCTTTGGGTAAATGAGATATCAACATTAAAAAATAAGAATAATAAACTTTATTTTAGAATAGTTTTAGATTTATAGAAAAATTGCAAGAATAGAACAGAGGGTTCCTATATACCTCACACCCAGTTTCCCCTATTACTAACATATTCCCTTATTACTAACAATAGTATGATATATTTGTTCCAGTTAATGAGTTAAAATTGATACATTATTATTAACTGAAGTCCATGGTTTATTCATACTGCCTTTTATCTGTTGTCTTTTTTCTGTTCCAGGATCATAACCAGGATACATTACATTTAATTGTCAGGTCTCTTGCCCCTCTTAACTGTGGCAGTTTCTCAGATGTCCCTTGTTTTTGAACTCAGCCTTCTTCCTTACCGGCCTCCTTAGTTCCCCTTGTATTCAAACAGTATACTGGCTGGAGAATCTTAGAGGACAGATGTGGGGGATGAAGTAGTAGCTGTGTGTGCAACAGACCAAATCTCAGTACTGCTTCCGAACCATGGCAGCCCTAGGGGCTTCCACCAAACCCACTGCCCTGGAGTCCATCCTGACTCAGCCACCCTATAACACAGAGTAGAACTGCCCATAGGATTTTCAAGGCTGTAAATCTTTCCGGAAGCACACTGTCTCATCTTTCTCCCACAGAGCCGATGGTGGGTTCAAACCGTCCACCTTTCCGGTAGCAGTTGAGCTATTTAACTACTTCGCCACCAAGACTCCTTCTTAGGAGTTTGGAACAAAAAAAAGTCCAGGAAAGAGAAAGAACGTATTGCTGATTGTCACACACTGGCTGTGCTTATTATAAAACTAGGGGGTAATGAAAGGGTGTCAGAATTTAAATACCCGGTCAACAGTGACGTCATTGGGCGACGCCTGACTAAAACCGCCTTTCAAGAGTCTGCCTCTACCCTTCCCCGCCCCCGCGATGCCCCAGCTCCTAGATGTGCTTCTTAAAGAAGAGCAACAATGCAGGCTGACTAGATTAGTCCTTTAGTTTCCTCTGTATGAATCGACCGTACCAGAACGGGCTTGAGTAGACCAGACAACTGAATTCCCCGTCCTAGGAACTACAATTCCCAGAAGACATCGTAGTGGGGCTTATCACTTACTGTATTCCTATTGGTTTATGCTTGTTACTCCTTTCCAATAGGAAACGAACTCTTTGCCAAGTGTCAAAATGGCGCTATCTAGGCTGTAGAACTAGGTTGTCCGGTAGGCTTAAATTTGGGGCGATGGTGGATGAAAAGGAAACAGGGAATTATAGTTTCAGGGTTGGGGAAGGTGGGAGAAATGTGGGAGGAAAAGGTGGATTTGAGGTGGTAGTGGCTGAGGGATGAAGCCGGCGTAATTAGGCAACTGGAACTGGCTTAACCCTTTGCCGCCCTGTTTTTAGTTTTTGTATTATGCCTCTTGACACCCTCTTCTTAGTGCCCCAAGGAAGTTGGATTCTGGAGAGAAGAGAGTGACAGGATCCCTGTCTTTTCCCCTTCCCTTTTTTCCTTCTGGTTCTTCTGCTTCCCTTAGATCTTCCTGTATGTCCTCCATTCCTTTCAACTCTGCCTTTTCCTCACAACGTCGTCTCCCCTTCTGTAGCTCGATTTTTCCCTCCTCAAAGCTGGCGGCTACCGGCATCGCCTCCTTAGAGTGAAATCATGAAGGTCGTTAACCTAAAGCAAGCCATTTTGCAAGCCTGGAAGGAACGATGGAGTGACTACCAATGGGCAATCAACATGAAGAAATTCTTTCCTAAAGGAGCCACTTGGGACATTCTCAACCTGGCAGGTCTGAAGTGAAATGGGAAAGAAGGAAGGGAGGGATAAACCCAGAAAAGTTGTAACCACTCAATCTTTGTTCTTCCCCATGCAGAAGCACTGCTGGAGCAGGCCATGATTGGACCATCTCCCAACCCTCTCATCCTATCCTACCTGAAGTATGCCATTAGCTCCCAGGTAAACTGCCCCATCTACTCTAAGGAGTGAGAGATTTGAAGGTAGAAAACTCAGAATGCAATTAACAGTTCACACTTTCTAGGGGATTTAATTTTAACAGATTGCTTTTCTGAGCCTCAGTTTTCTCATAAAAATAATTCCGAAGTGAACTAGTTGTTAGAGGAGCTCTGGTGGCACAGTGCCTAAGATATTTGATTGCTAACTGGAAGTTGACAGTTCAAAGGAGAGGGAAGATGGGACAGTCTACTTCTGTAAAGATTTACAGCCTCTGAAATCCAATGGGGGTTGCTATGAGTTGGAATCAACCTGATGGCGGTGAGTTTGGTTTTTAGTTGGTTTTTAGTTATGGAAGGAGCTCTGGTGGTGCAGTAGTTGAAGCATTTGACTGCTAACCTAAAGATGGGTGGTACAAACCCACCAGCAGCTCTGCTGGAGAGAGATGAAGCAGTCTGCATCTGTAAAGATTTATAGCATTGGAAACCATATGGGGCAGTTCTACTCTGTCCTTTATGAGTTGGGATCCACTTGATGGCAGTGCATTTTAGTTGTATGGAGTCCCTGGGTTGCCAGCGGGTTAAGCTGAAAAAGTGTCAGTTTGAACCCATCCAGAGGCATCTCAGAAGACAGCCCTGGCGATCTGCTTCGGAAAGGTCACAGCACACACAGTTGGAATCAACTCAGCAACAACTAACAACAACTAGTTCACTTTCTCTCTCAGTATTTACCAGTGCTAATATGTGCCGGATAGTGTGGTAGCCCCTGGGGATATAGCTGTGAAAAAGACCTTATGTCACACAGCTGATCCCAGTGGGTAATGTTAGCTGCTGTCAGGTTGGCCTCTGACTCACGATGACCCCATGCACAGTAGAATGAAGCACTGTAGACTAAAACCCATGATGGGTTGCTGATTAGACCATTGTGATCCATCGGGTTTTCATTGGCTGATTTTTGGAAGTAGATCCCCAGGCCTTTGTTCCTAGTCTGTTTTAATGTGGAAGTTTTGCTGAAACCTGTCCAGTGTCATAGCAACATGCAAGCCTCTACTGACAGATGGGTGGTTGGTGCACATGAGGTGCATTGGCAAGGAGTATCTGACTCAGGTCTTCCTCGTGGAAGGGAAGAATTTCACCAGTGAACTACCAGTGCCTCTAGTGAAATAAGCAGTCAGTCACAGGGTGAGTTTATGAGATAGGTTAGGGCAGAGTGCTCTGGAAGTTCATGGGAGGAACACCTAATCCAGTCTGAATAATCAGGGAAGGCTCTAGGAATGAAGTGATAATTTAAGCCAAGACCTGAATGTTGAATAGGCGTTAACCAGGCAGATTGATAAGAGAGAAAAAAAAAAATCTTAGGCAAGGTCTGAGAGGCAAAAATCACGTGATGTTTAGGAACTGTAGATAGTTTGGTGTGGCTAGATCAGTGATCCTCTGCCTTTTCACACCCTTTTCATACTCAGGTTACTGAGACCTCACAGAGCTTTTGTTTGTGTGTATTTTATCTGTCCTTGTTTATGATTTTTAAAACTAAAATGGAGATACTCATTAAAAGTAACAAGACTAAACCTATTACATGTTAGTATAAATAACAATGGAAAATAACCATATTTAAAAAAAATGCTCATAAGGAAAGTAACATCGTTTTACAAATTTACAAACTTTAATGTCTGGCTTAATGGAAGACAGCTGGATTCTTCTATCTGCTTCTATGTTCAATCATTGCAGTATGCTATATTGGCTGAATTACATGAAAATGTGGAACCACATATTAGATACTTGGTTTGAAATGGGAGGAGTATTTTAATAAGCTTTTCAGATAACTGGATATTCTTTGATATTACACTAAAATTCTACAGGTGATGTGAAACTGTATCAATGAACTTGTTATACTCTGTTACATTAAAATTCATTAATCTTTGTCTTTCATTTTAAATGGATCTTATATTCATGTGTGTGCTTTTTAACATGACTTTGTTATGTTACTGGATTATTCCAATATTCCAATTATTAGCACATGTCGTTATACAGTATCATTACATGTCATGGAGCCTCTGGGAAACTCCACTGTACAAATGTGAGAGACTAAGCATGAAAAAGGCAAATGACATCTTAGTAATAGTTTGAAAAGAGTTTTGATCTCTCAGACCCCTGGAAGGGGTCTTGGGGACCTCTGAGGGTATCTGGCCCGTACCTTGAGAATATCAAGTTCAAAGAGGAGACTGGTTGAGAGAGAGAGAGATTAGGTCGTAAAGGACCTTCTCTGTCTAAAGAGTTTACACTTTATTCTAGGGCTCAACAGAGCTACACCCACTGACGCTGAGTCAATTACAACAGAATAGAATTGGCTCATAGAGTTTCCACAAATCTTTACAAAAGCAGATTGCTACATTTTTCTCTCACAGAGCAGCTAGTGGATTTGAACTGCTGACCTTTTGGTTAGCAGCCAAATGCTTTAACTATGGGCCACTAGGGCTTCTCTTAGGGCAATGGGTAAGTATTTATTTCAAGGGTTTTGGAAAAATAGTGGGATAGAATTTGCTCTTTTTTTTTTTTTTTTAATTAACATACAGTAAAGTGCCCAGATCTTAAGTTCAGTTCCATGAATTTTAACAATTGTATACCCATGTCACCAACATCCAAAATAAGATATAGAATGTTCCCATTCTCCCAGAAAGTTCCCTTGTGCCCCTTTCCAGTCCATTCCCCCTCCCACAAGCACTAAATAATTTCTTTCACCACACGTTGTTGTTGTTAGGTACCGTCGACTCTGTTCTGAGTCATAGCAACACTGTGTACAACAGAATGAAAATGCCCAGTCCTGCGCTATCTCCAAAATTGTTGCTAACTTTGAGCCTACTGTTAGAGCCCCTGGGTCAATTCATCTCTTTGAGGGTCTTCCTCTTTTTTGCTGACCTTTTTGCTTGACCAGGCATGATGTCACCATAGATTAGTAATGTTTATATTTTGGATTTTAGAATCATATAGTATATACTCAATATATTTTGTCTTTTGTTTAACATAAATATTTTTGAAATTCATCTATGTTGTTGCATGTATCAGTAGTTTATTCTTCTTGCTGAATAGTATTACACAGTAGACGCATAGTTCTTATTTCATTTTTCTTCTTGGCATTGTGTCTGCTTTCTATGTTAGCACATACTGATTCACCTTATTCTTTTCATCTGCTGCATATGTTCCATATGTACTGTAATTTAACAATTTCCCTTGTATGGGCATTTAGGTTATTTATAATTTTTTTAGTTTATAAGCAATGCTAAACCTTATGTTCACCTCTCTGCATATTGGAATATTTCTTTAAGGAAGATACTTAGAATTGCTGGTTTGAAGAGTATACACATATTATGGAAAAGAAAGAGACCTTGTATAAGTAAAGCACTATCAAAGAACAAAGTAGGAGGTCTCACACTCCCGGATCTCAAAACCTACTATACAGCCACAGTAGTCAAAACAGCCTAGTGTTGATACAACAACAGACACATAGACCAGTGGAGTAGAATTGAGAACCTAGAAATAGATACATCGACCTATGGTCAGCTGATTTTTGACAAAGGGCCATTAATTCATTCATTAAATGGAGAAGAGATAGTCTCTTTAACAAATAAATGGTGCTGGCAAAACTGGTTATCTATTTGCAGAAAAATGAAATAAGATCCATACCTCACACCACACACAAAAACTAATTCCAGATGGATCAAAGACTTAAATGTGAAACCAAAAACTATAAAGTTCCTAAAAAAAATAGGGGTAAATTTAGGGACTCTAATATATGGCAAAAATAGATTATCAAGCATAACCCAAAATGCACAAACAGCAGAAGATAAACTAGATAAACTAGATAAACTGGGACCTTCTGAAAATTAAATTTTTATGTGCTTCAAAATAAATCTCCAAAATAGTAAAAAGAGAACCTACAGATTGGAAAAAGAGTACACACATATTAAATTGTAGTAGATCCTGCCAGTTGCCCTTTATGGTGTTTGACAGTATTTCAAACACTGAATAGAATATTTTTAAATTTTCTCCAGAGAAGTGAAATATTACATCTTGTCTTAATATGCATTTCCACAATTGTATAATTGAACATGTTTTTCATATGTTTATTGCCTTTCTGTATATCTTCTGTAAATTACTTATGTACCATATTTTTATGCAAATAACATGCCCCTTCTGCAAATAACACATGCCTTCTGTGTTTGCTTGCCAACCACTCCCTCCCCCAGGAGATATTTTTGTAAAAGTGCTGTGCTGTTTCTTGTTTTTTTTAAACAGAAACTTGTAAAAAAAAAAAAAAAAAAGGGGCTGCGAAGGAAGGGATTGGCAAACAAACCTAGAAGGCGTGTGTTATTTGTGTAAAAATAGGGTATGTTATCTACCCACTTTTCTATTGTTTGCTCATTTTCTCATTGATTTCTTTGTAATAGCTTTACTGAGATATAATTCACATACTGCATGATTCACTCATTTAAAGTGTACAGTTCACTAGTTTCTAGTTGTACAACCATGACCACAATCCATTTTGAACATTTTCATCATCCCAAAAATAATTCTTACTGATTTTTAAGGTCTTTTAGTATAATCTAGCTTGTAATTCATTTTTTTTTTCTTTTTCTTTTTTATTGTGATTTGGGTGAAAATTTACAGAGCAAATTCACTTTCCATACAGCATTTCACATACACTTTGTCTCATGACATTGACCACAGTTTACCACAATGCAACAGCTCTTCTTCCACTTCCTCCCGACAGTCACCTCTTCCCTGTGTCCATCACTCCATGCACCCCTGCCCCCTGAGCTATCTCCCTGTGCATAAATAGCCCATCTTTCTCCCATGATTGTTCTCTCCAAGCAGTGTATTACCTCAGGTAAATGTTCAACTCCTACGCCTGTCTTTTGCTTGGCTGGAAACCACAGGTGTGGGTTCAATTCCAGACCTGAAGGGCAGCTAGGGACCATAGTCTCAGTGGTTCTGCCAGTCTCTATCAGA